CGATGTACCATCCCCTACCATCGAACGACAGTCGAGAACAGTGGAGTCGATATAAAACGAACTGAACTTGCCATTACCACAGTCTATAGTTGGAAAACTTTCTTACTACCTTACCCCAGGAAAAATCTTGCCTCTTCGTACACAGGTTCCTCGATATTTTTTTTCTCTCTCTCCCTCTTTTCGAAGCGCACAGTACGTATAAGAGCTAATACAAAAAAAAAAAAAAAAAAGGAAGAAGAAAAAGAGAAAACAAAAAAGAAGCAGAAGGAAAGAAAGAAAAATTCTGAAACGGTACGAACGTCCCTTTTTCTCAATGCCCTCGAGTTCCATTTGATTTTGAAAGTCTCCTATCGACGAGCCAGAAACGATCGCCGGGCGAAACAAAGCGATCCACCGGCATGGAACCCGCAGCGAAAACGAAACAATACTACTTCTACTTTGCGATCCCCCAACGACTTCCTTCCGGCGTGGAGCGCGCGCGAGCCGAGCGCGCAAGTAAGCGTAGTAGGTTCCTACTTGCTGAATATCACATGGCGCGCGTACCCCACATGGCGTTATTGAGGTAACGCGGCAACGGCATGTGCATCGGAATTCCACCCCCTGTAAGTGTCATGTGGCCAAAGTGTTGTTCGCAGGGGGTTGTGCATGGGAACAGAGGTATGGTCATCAGTCCATGTCGTGCATCTTATATATACTTTCTACATTCTACACGCATCGCTATGCACTATATTTCCCCTCGATATAGCAAAATTATTGTAACATTCGCTTCGTTATTATACACAGCCTGACCGAGCAGAGAGCAACCCCTTCGCTCTGGCACGCATCCATAGACATGTAAACGTATCGGTGTTTCGTGACGCCTAATTGTCAGTGTGTATTTACACGCACATCACCGGCGCAGACAGACAGACAGACAGACAGATACGTATATAGAGATCAAGGGTGTTGGAGAGGGAGAGAGGCGAAGGGGTGAGAGAGAAACAGGGTTACACAGATAGTAAGAGAGCAATAGAGCGAGAGAGATAACGAGCAGCTCTGTTCTATATACACAATGATACACGCATACGAAAGCAGAGGTACGGTGACTCGTGTGTGTACACACACACACAATTCACACGCGTTCTGCATATTA